GCGGATCGGCGGCGACAGGCGCGCGTACGCGGCCGTCTGCGACGTCCAGCCCGTGTCGCCGCCCGTCGGCGGCACTGATACGAGCGTGAGGATGGTGATGCCCGGCGGCTGGTGCTCGTACGACACGTCCGAGTGGTAGCCGACCGTCGTCAGCCGGCTCGACCGCCGCTTGTTGCGGTACTCGTTGTCCGGGCCCAGGTAAATGTTGTGCAGCTCCAGGTGGTCCTTGACGTGGGCGCCGACGGGCTGCATGTTCGGTCAATAGGTGAGGTTTGGGGGGGCCGATTCAAACTGACGTACGTGGATGTGCAGCGGCCCAAAGTACCGCCCAAAGGCCTTTTGCTTGTCGATGCCAATGTCCTTGAAGTCCTGGCCGCGGAACACGACGACGCCGCGCTCGGCAATGAGCAGGGCCAGCTCGTCCTTCTGGCGGTCGTCGAGCTGCGACAGCTGCAGCCCGCGGATCTCGGTGCCGATGACGGGTGTTAGCTTGCTGACCTGAAGGTCGGCGTTGGTCGGGGACAGCAGGTTGGGCTTGTCCTTGGCCGCCGCCAGCCCGCGGTCGCGGAACTCGAACGGCTGCAGTGGAGGGAAGTGCGTCTTTTCATCGTACACGGGCAGGTAGGCCGCGTATTTGTACTGGTTTCTGGGTTAGAGCCATGTTCGGTTGGGCCGTTCTGACGAAGCTCACTTCTTCGTGTATCTCTTTGTCATACGCCAGAGTCAGCGTGATTGGCTCACTCTCGGTGGCCGTCTTGGTTGTGGTTGTTGTCGACATTGTGGTCTATAAGAGGCACCTGTCAATATTCAGAGTCGCTTGGTGGTGTATTGGCTGAACTAAAGTCTCTTCTGGAATTTGCAGGACGACTTGACTCCCCAAGCATCGCCGCCCGTCCGTCTGTTCGCGTTCTTATAGCCGTGCCCATTCTCTGTGGCTTCTTATTTTGCAATATCTTTCCCTGTGATTGCTCGTGCCGATGATCCGATTCCACACTCTGTTTCCATCACGTCAACAGCTCGCAGATGGCGAGTGTCCAGTCAAGCCAAGCCCTCAAACCCCCTCGACAACGGCCATGCGTGATGTGTGGGATGGTGCGGGGAAGTGGCTGAAAGGCAGTCGTCTCTGGCGTCAGCCGGCTCGGCGTCGTGATTTGGACAGAAATGACGAGCGCCCACACTACCGCCCGCTAACCCCCACGGCACGCCAGCCCATGTTATCTCCGACCCGTTCGGTACTCGTTTGGGCCCAAACGGCGCTGCTGCAGCCCCGGTATTCCGGCCCCCATCCATCTTAGCCCGGCCAAGTTGGCCGAGCTAGATCGAGCATCGGCTGACAAATGTTAGTACGCAACGGCCTAGAACTAGCTGAAAATGCCATGAAGTGTTTATAATGATTGTCATCGTAATAATCTAAATAAAACAACCTAGCGACTAAACCGACTTTTCTCTTATAGCCATAATATCTCGAGCAAAGCGGGCAGTTGGTTAATATTGTAACGTACGACAAAAAGATGCTCTGGTAACAGCCGTAGAAAAGGCAAAAAGAATAGTTTAGATCTCTCCCGCCGGGAATTGAACCCGGGTCCCGAGCGGAGTCTTCTGTGAAGTTGACAAGCTCATATACTGACCACTATACTACGGAAGATTTGCTGGTGTGGATCACCAGCTGTAGCTTGTGTTTGATGAGTGGAGAGGGTCAATAGGGCGCATAAGTAGTCCGCGGGAAGGTGCGAAAAGCGATGAGAAGAATAACTTAAAATGACTAAACGCAAAGTATAACAACAGAATGAGACATCCGAAGAGTGAACAGCTCGGGATCCGGGACTGAGATTTTGAGCCGCGATAATGAATGCCGGGTCGTGCAACACAGCATACTCCCATTCTCGCGACACACATCTCACCCCACACCATCTCATCACGGTTGCGGGGAAGGAATTGGCCAACATTCAGCTCCTTATGAGATTATTCGGGAAGAAATAGAATCGAAGCTGAAGGTGAGGCTGCAGGCACGGGAATGCTGGGATCGTCAGTAAGGGATTCACGTTAACCAATTGCCGTTTGCATTCTTTTTCAAGCAATTGATCTACTTCGCCGCGGATGGGCATTGACGTGCTTTGATAAGCATTTAAACCCGTTAAGAGAATTGAGTCCGCCGATGCCTGAGCCTTCAATCGAGCCGAGTCTGGTGACAGCGAGTCTCCAATTTGAGGGAAGCAAGGGTGCTAATCGCAGCAAGCTGACAGAAACGGGGGTCCCGGCGGGTAGCGTTGCGTCATCACGGACCCATCGTTGCAAAAGCGGTGAGATGCAACAGGAGCCAGGAAGCGCCAAAGAGGTGCAGATAAGAACGGGCATGCAACGAGGTTTATATGCTAATGTCACGGTATTCGACCCTCGCAATGTGAAATTAGACGAGGTAGGCCTGTTGAAAGGAAAGAATTATAGGACGAGAAGAGTTTTCCACACCAATCAATCTCGACCGGCGGCCATGGTTCGCCACCGATCACCGGCACCCCGCTCAATGCTGCCGCGACCCGAAGGGCGCGCGCTAGGCTGGATTACCTGCAGCAGCCGAATGCACGGGCTGCATGTCCAAACCCGGGGGCCAGAAGCTCCTAGAACACAGCGCTTTGGAAAAAATTAGAAGAGTGCAGCACTCGTCTGGGCAGAGACGGCCATCCTTGGTCCCTGTCACGCCTTCCAGGCTATCCTTGCCGCCCGCTTCCGACGGCGCATCCGCTTAGTTGCATGGATGTTCGTTCACCAGACGCTATTATTAATGATATTCGACCCCCATTACTCCGTATCCATAAGAAAAAAGCGAAACCAACAGGACGTCCTCAGACGGTAAACCCCTCCTCCAACTATTTACCGCAGCAACCACCACCCACGCCGTCCCCCGTGCTGCACCACCACCACCTCGTCAGCCGGCCATTGGCAGCTGAGACACCAATTAGAAAAATCACAAAATTAATTAATCAGTCACAAAAGACATGACTATGACAGCCACAACCGACGAGACGCAGCCGCTGCTGCTGCGCGCCGCCGCAACCAACAACCCCGCAGCGCCAAACGCAATCGGCGCAGGCGGCAGCGCCACGACGGCTCCGCAATCCGCGGCCGACTCGGAGTCGACGGTTGTTGACTTTGACCCCTGCGGCGACCCGGACAACCCCCTGGAGTGGCCGGCGGCGTTCAGATGGAGCGTGGTGCTGATGCTGGCCATGACGGCGTTTACCGTGTAATTATTCACTCTCCACTCTCATCTTCACAAATCAACCACTGACACATCCATGGGTCTGCAGAACATTCACATGCATCAGCGTAGTCCCGCTGGCGAACGAGATCGGCCGGGACCTCGGCGGCGACGCGCGGTCCAAGGCGGCGAGCGTGCTGCTGGTGACCATCTGGGAGCTGGGCGAGGCGGCGGGCCCGCTGCTGATCGCGCCGCTGAGCGAGATGGTCGGGCGCTACCGCGTCGTGAACACCGCCAACGCGCTGTTCATCGTCGCCACGCTGCTCGCCGCCACCAGCGCCAGCCTGCCGCAGTTCGTCGCCGCGCGCATGCTGACGGGCCTGGCGGTGGCCACCAACGTGCTCAGCCCGGCGATCGTGGGTGATATTTTCGTGTCGGAGCAGCGCGGCGGCGCGCTGAGCTTGGTGTTTCTTGCGCCGTTGCTGGGCGGTGCTGTTGGGCCGGCCATCTCGGGTGCTATTGCTGAGCGCGCCGGCTGGCGCGCGGTGGTGTGGCTCAGTGCGGCGCTCGCCGTGCTGTGCGAGCTGCTGTTCCTCACCTTCTTCCGCGAGACGTACAAGGTCACGATCCTGCGGCGGCGCGCCGCGCGCCTCGCCCGCGAGAGCGGCAAGCCGTTCCGCACCGAGTTCGACGGGGAGGAGGAGAGTGGTGGTGGCAGTGGGGGGCTCGGCCGCCTGCGCGACGCCATGCTGCGCCCCGTGACTGTGCTCGCCGGTAGCAGCGTGCTCGTCATCGTGTGTCTGTACGGCTCTGTCTGCTTCGCGTACTATTATGTTATTACCGTGACGCTGGCCGACATCCTGCGCGACGTCTACCACCTGCCGCCGGTGCAGGCGGGCCTGTGCTTCATTACTGTTTGTGAGTGGCGTCCCTCGGACTCTTCTCGTTGGTACTTGCTGTCGTGGTTACTGACAAACATCACAGCCCTCGGATCGGCCGTGGCCGTGTTCGCGTGCAACCGCAGCCTGGACCCCATCTACATCCGGCTGCGCGACGCCAACAAGGGCGTGGGCCAGCCGGAGCACCGGCTGCCGGTGGCGATTGGCGGCGCGTTCGTGATGCCGGCGACGGTGGCGGCGTACGGCTGGGCGGCCGCGTTGCACCTGCCGCTGCCGGCGCTGCTGGCGAGCATGGCGGTGCTGGGCGCCGCGCTCATGTTCACCATGATCCCGCTCATGGCGTATGTGGTCGACGCCTTCGGCCTGTACTCGGCCTCGGCCATGACGGGCGTCATTGTCGTCCGCTGCCTCGTCGGCACCTTTCTGCCCCTGACCACGGCGCCACTGGTCGACAACTTTGGCTATGGATGGGGGTTCACCGTGTTTGCTGCTCTGAGCTTTGCCATTGCGCCTGTCCCGGCCCTTGTCATGCGCTACGGCGCTCGCTGGCGCCAGAAGTCAGAGTATACTAGGGATCAATGATGGTGCGAGGCGGAGGTGGAGTTTTAGGGGTATATTAATAGAGATGTAATTAGACCGTGTGTATCTTTGCTGAGTGGTCGCGTTGGTTGTCGGTGTGTGCCCGCTTTGACAATATAGCGACGGTGGAGAGGGAAAAGAAAAATAAAGAAGAAATAAACACAAAGAAAGAAATAGAGAATGGGGGGAAAATGACGGAACGAGACGAACTTGAATATACCATCTTAAACGACGATTTTGTTCCCACCATTTCCATCCCATTTCCATCCCTTGTCTGGTATCCAAAAAGAATCGTCTCGCCCCCGGGACGAAAAAGATGACTGGACCGACCCACGTGCGGCTCGAACGCACAATCTCCTGAGAATGACCTTAATCGGAATCAGGTGCCTTACCATTTGGCCAGCGGGCCTGGTTGATTGATTGGATACGGTTGTGGAGTGGAATCCGGCATGACATCCTCACCCTTCCAGGGGTCCACCCGCTCGAGGTTTGGAGAGAGAGCTCCATATTATTATCGGGTGGGTGCGTCTGTGATGTGGTGATGTTGCGACCTTGGTTTCCGGCTACATAGGATGGACAGACGGGGCGAGGTTGCCGGCTGACAATGTCTTCGTTGATTCCTGTGCACACGGCCGTTCTATGGCCGTTCTCTCGGCCTGCCAGGGTTACCGTCTAGATAAAATATAATTTGATTTGTATATAAAGTTCAATAAGTTGAGGTCTAGACAGTAATTATCTCTATCAGTGTCTGCGTAGAAACTGAATGGATGGCCTCCACGTTGGTTCCATCATGTACCCCGGTTATTATTATGACTGTATGACAGAAAATAATTAACAAAAAAAAATGGCCCCCTCAGGTGAGAAGAAATATGTACAAGGTCCAAGTTATTAAATCCCAACACACCCATCCCATCATGGAAGCTGATTAACTGCGTGCTCTATGGTGGGCAGCTCCTGGGACGGCCAGGTCCTCGGCCCGGACGCCCTCGGCCACGTGCTCGGGTCCGACGTCCTCGGCGGCGGCACTGGCGGTGGCGGCGGGGTGGTATACTGGTACTGGTATGCGGCGGGCTGCTCGTCGCTGCTGCTGCTGCTGCTGTTGGTGTACTGGTATTTGTCGTTGGCCGAGATCCTGGGCTGTGACGGCTCGGCCTTGGCTGCGTCGACGAGGCGCTTGAGCCGGCGGTTCTGCATGACTGCCACGGCGAGGGCGATGGAGACGGCCAAGAGCAAAGAGCCGAGGATCCCGCCGATGATGGGTGCTATGTTGTTATTGTTGGAGGTTGGTCCGTCGCTGGGCGTCAGGGTGCTGTTGTTCCCTGTGTTGGCCAAGACGTCACCGTCTGGTGCTGATGAGGTCTGGGCGGACGGCCGGGTGGTTGTTTTGGTGGCACTCTTGGAGGTGCTTGCACCGCTAGTCTGGCTGTTGTTCTGGCCGTTGCTCTGGTCGTTGCCCTGGTCGGTGGTCTGGCTATTCGTCTGGTTGTTGGTCTGGCTGTCGCTCTGGTTGTTGGTCTGGCTGTCGCTGTCGCCGTTTGTCTGGCCGTCACTCTGGCTGTCGCTCTGGCCGTCGCTCTGGCTGTTTCCCTGTGTGGCTTTCTCGGGGGCAGCCTGTGTTTGGCTCGACAAGAGGGTCTTGATTCCTGCGTCGGTGGTTGCAGGGGTGTTTGCCGAGGCGGGACTGTCAGAGGGAGAGAGCTGGCGCACGACAGTTCCGAGCTTGCGGATCAACATGAAGCTGTTCTGGCAGCACTCGGCATCCGTGAGGTAGGCTCCACTGCAACACCATGTCTTCTCTCCGCAGGGTTTCATCACACGGCTGTAGCCCTCTATGAAGTGATGCTCGTCAGCCGACAGCTCGGTCTCGGAAAGGGACAGGAGAGGAAAGAAGGAGAAAACTGACTTGTGGCATTAGGCGGGGGGTTGCAGTACTGAGCGCACACAGGATCCCTCCAGGTGGAATCGGTGCAGCCGTTAATCCATATCATCGAGTCGGGCGTCTTTGCGGCCGAGGACACGCACACGCCCGTCGACATGCAAATGTCGCCCATGCCTTGGTTGCAGCATGCCGAATGGGAGCCGGATTTGCCCGTCGCGGCCGAGTTGCAGGCTATGATCTTCTTGTCCCCGACAACGGTGCCGTCGGGGTTGTAGCACACGGCGCCGCACGCCGCCTGCCTGGCGATGCAGAGGAGGAGGCACGCCAGCGACAGTCTTGTTCTCTCCATGGCGAAAGGCGTCGTGTCGCCAAGAGCCAGCGAAGGTGTATTGCCGGAGCAAAGGAGAACTTAATTCAACAAAGCGCAAGATGTCTGTGGTGTTTTCTTGGGCCCCGGAGGGCAACAGGGAGGAAGAGGGACTCGGTCAAGTCCACAATTACTGGCGGGAACGATGGATGGTATTTGACGTCTGATGGAACTGTAAATGGATGAAGGGAGTGGATGGGACGAGACGAGACGAGATTGAGACGGTTGTAGCCCCAGATCCCAGAGGGCAGGCGACGAATCAACGGAAGCATCAGTCTTGCATGCGGGCAGAGGGCAGAAGCTGTGCGGCGAGGCGGCACAACTGGGCATAGGAGGGCTGCGCCGGGGCCGCCATGCGGGCCTAGGGCCGGGAACAGGAGCCGGCTAGCACGAAGGAACGCCCTATAGTCCCGATTTGGCCAGCTTTATGCCGCATCTCCATGGGCTTCCCTCCTTTGTTGGTGCTTGGTGGAGTCGGCGGCAGCTGCCTTGATGCGATCTCACCTCCAAAGTCCGAGCACGCGAATGGCGCCGCTGCCCTGTGCCACACAGCACCACAGCAATCAACAACAAAGCGACTCTGGCTTACTATGTAAGTTGAGTTGCCAAACGCACGTGGAAGGCGTCGCCCCGCTGGTAACGGCGCCGATTGGGCCGTTTCAGAAATGATTAACTGGAAGTAGTCTAGAAACGCGTTTCATCGCTTTTGCCAAACGGCCCCGCTGAGTCTAATAAACCCTCCGGCTGGGGATGCACCCGGAGGCCCCGACCCCAAATGCAAATGGGGGCCGTGTCCGCAAAAACAGTAGTGGGGCGGGCCACACATGGTGCAGTGGTTTAATGCCCCAGAACCGCCGATACTATTGGAGCCGATATTGACAATCTCGACGTCCCATTGTTGGGTTGCCCAGCCTGTCCGACACCGAACACCAAGCTCGCTCATCTCTTTCCGACGATACAGCACCCAACCTCACTTTCGCTTTGGGCCTCGTCAGTACATGGGGAAAAAGAAGAGACGGTTGGATGCTTTTTTGCGAGATTCCAGTTTAAGCCATCAGCCTCGTTCAGGGGGCAGACAGAGAATAACATTTTCATTCCGGGCCTAGCAGCCAACCCACGGCACCAGTGACACGGTGGTAGGAGCCGGCTCTGCGATGTTGAGCGAGGAAACGAGAGCGCATGTCCAATCAATTGCTTCAACTTTTATTTACACACGTTACCCCCTTTTTGTCTCTGCTTTTTCTTGTCTCCCGTCAGCCGACTGGCCTCGCCCCATTGCAGTTTGCGCAACCCTTTGTCTTTTCATCCGAAGCAGCAAACCAAGAACAAAGCAAGCCACCTACCTATGCCGGCGCGGGCAGCGTCGCCGGGAAGCTGTACCCGCAGTTCGGCTTCTTCTCGCAGTACGTCATCGTGTGAATAAACCTCAACTTCCCATCCTCGACACGGAACTCGTGGCTGTCAGGCGCATTCCCGATACTGCCAAACTCGAGCAACACGCTCACGACACCCACACTCTCATCAATCACATAACGACGATTCGGCATGTCATACGACTGGATGACGCCGAGGTTACAAGTGTCAGACGGCAGGCCGCGGCCGGTATAGGCGCCGCCCTCGAGACGCGCACACGGCGCGCCCCACGGCACGGCGACGCTGGCGTTCTTGAACACGTCGAGGTAGGCGTCGGCGGCGGCCTGGATAGCGGCGCGCGAGTCGCGATGCGCTACCGGGATCGTGCCCCAGTCCTCGCCCAGCGCGTAGTGCAGCGTGCCCGTGGCGTTGAACAGCCAGTCGCCGGGCGTGGTGACGACGCGGTCGATTTTCGTCAGTTTGCCGCTGTCGGGGCCCAGCCAGAGCTGGGCGCCGATGACGCGCGGTGCTGCGGCGTCGGTGATGATCAGGTCCGTGAAGGACGCGCACTGCGTCAGGTCGAAAATGCTGTGGCTGCGGTCGATGCGCTGCGGCGAAGCTGTCGCGAGCGAGCTGTTGGACCGCCAGCCCGGCAGCGTGCGGCCGTTCTCCAAGTACGTGGCGTTGTCGGCCAGCACCGGCGCCAGCCAGCTGAGGCTGCCCGTGCTCTGCGCCGCGATGTACCGGTCCGTGGCTTCGCGGAGCAGCCCCTGGTTGCACGCTGCGCTTGCGACGGCGGCAGTTGTGGCTAGGCCCCAGGCCAGCGCGGCGATGGTGGAGTGATGCATTGTGTTTTCCAGGGGGGAGATACTGGGCCCAAGGTCGTGACAGGACCAAAGTTGCGCGCTGCACCGAGTTGGCTGGCTGAGCTGGTGGTTTTCTATCCCAAAACCTGCATCTCGCGGACCAAGGGGCTTGTCAATTGCCGTATCGTGAAATAGCCGGAGCGACCCGAGGACCCAGACCTCCTCACTTGGGATATTTGTCGAATTGAGCCGCGTCATCTCTTGGGGGACTCTTCTCGGCTGTACCCGTATAATAGTATGAATAAAATGGCCTTGGTATTCGCTGTCTGCCGGTTTTAACCCCATTCCAACTTACCCCTGGACCCCCCAAGCCACCCTCAGAGGCTCAGCTTCAGGTCAAGCTCGACGCGATGGTCTTCCAACTTCCAAGTGTGCGAGAGGGCGGAATGCTCGGGCCTGCAGGATCCGAGGGATTGTTCAAGTGTCATGGATGCCACGTTGGCCACTGAAGTGTTGGCTCAAGATCAAGCCGGGGATTACTGTCCAGGGTCGCCCGCAGTGATTGTAATGATTATGGCAAGAGCAAGGAAGCGACAACCAGTTCGGCTGGGCATGATGCTAAACCACGCTCGGAGGCATCCAGCTTGTTTCATTCTCTAAGTCATATGTCACTTCCACGTATTGCCCAGTACGCGTATGTTCTAGCCACAACCGAGAGCCCTTGCCACGAGCAGGGATCCCCCCTCGGCAATCGGAGCTGGGGCCGAAGTCTTAATTTAACATCTCAAGACCCGAAGCGTTGTTATTATTTTTTGCGTCAATACGTAATAGTCGCTAATTAAGTCGTCTCAGTCCTGTCTGGCAGGATCCAACTCGACGGCTCCCACAACGTCATCAATCTCGGCCATGATCTCAGGCGTCAGCTTGTCGAGCGACTTGAGGGCCTTGACATTCTCGACGATCTGCTCGGGCCTCGACGCGCCAGTAATGACGGACGACACGTT